CCCGCTTTGGAAGCGAAAGACGCGGTAACTCGATCGTTACGCGTCCACATCATCGGGCTCCCGGCCAGAGCGGATGATAAACTTGCCACACGGAAAGCTCGTCGAGCTCGTTTATTGGTCCCACAAGAAATTCCGTTAGACGTTTATCGCACTCGTCAAAGTGCTCAACGAGGTGGCTCTCGTGTTCCCGCAATGCGGACAATACCTGTAGTGCTCGCCCCTGGCGAAAGCACTACAGATGACGAAGCACTCTTTGAGCAATGGGTGAAACGGCACCGAAAACTTCCCTCACTGCATAACCTGCAGTTGAGCCACAAGGAAGGGGACGTGCGTGCGGAGCGACACCTCTGCTATGAGTTTGCCAAACTCAAGGCACGCCGTTGACTTCCATCGGATTGTCGCCCTGCGACGTATGGGTTAACCCCTAATGCTCCCGCGAGCTCTGTGTCTTCGACCACAAGAGCTGCTTGAGCTCAGCTCATGGCCCTTCTACTTCCCGGCTATTGCCGGGAAGCGCGGGGCGTCTGATGACGCGAGACGTCCTGTTCTTTCCGATCGAAAGCGTCCACGGCGACTGGGCAATCTTGCCGAAGTGGCGCCTAAAACTCCCACGAGTTTTCGGAGTCGGGATATCCCCGCCACTTCACCAGGTATTGGGTTCGACCCTGGTGACGACGTCGTCCAACAAGACATTCCACGTGATAGTAGACGTCACCGTTTTCATCAAGAAAAATCGTTGGCGGGCGGTGACGACCGGGTCGACCGCCGTCCAGTGACTCATGATGCTCTTCGAACCCTTGAGAACAAGGTCTTTCGTAATCGGAACATCGCTGAGCGTCATGCTGAAGTAGCATATCGCTGTGCGGACGCTCTTGACAATTTAAAGCACGTTGTGCGCCGGCTGCCTCGTCTTGAGGACTACCGCTCTCAGTCGAAGCGACTTCTAGCCGTGGAGCAGGCGGATGCATCGCTGCAGGCAACGGTGGAGCGCTTGGCCCCATTGGAAGTGGAGGTTGTTGCACTCCGTGCTCAGAACCAATTGCTGGTTCAACTTTTGGGTGGCCGCGGGCCCGTGGATTCCGCTCCTGCGCCAACCCTACCGCGTTCACTTGCGCCGAATCCCGGTACGGCTTGAGAAAGCCCACGTAAAATACTGGGTGGCTGCGCATCCGTTTTGGAAGGTTCAGCGTATACGCCAGATCCCGTTTGGTCACGACCTTAAACGATCCGATAAACCGTGGATGAAGCTTCGTCCGGAAGATTGCAGAGGCTGCATGTGTAGGCAGGGTTTTGAATTTAATAAAACAGGTTTCCGACCTTAAAGCTTTCTACTTTGCCGCTTCCTTTTTCATCTGCATATTGTTTCTGCAGGTCTTGGCTCTCAGCCATCGCATCGCGAACGTGTCCTAGGACACTCAGTCTGGTAGACAAGAAGTTGTCGACTTCTTTACGGATGGTGAGGGGT